AATTGAGATAAGCAAAATGCCAATACATAACTCTAGTAGGGCAAGTTATTGAATAGAATTTTTTATTTTTCTGAGCCAGAACTTCTGCTACCATAGCATATATAATATTACAGACTTGAAATCTGGAGGGGAAAACCTCACTTTTGTTAATTCGAAATGAATAATGTATAGGTAATCAGTAGGTTACTCAGTAGAACTTAATAACATTTATATATATTAAGTGGTCTATCTCATATTTCCTTTTGAATAATTTGTCCTAGTCTAATATGGGATTTATTTTTTTACAAAGCATAGATAATTGTACTGTAACCAAGTACACATTTTAGATATATTAATGCCTGAACACAAGAGGAGCCTACACCCAAGCCTGTGATTTTCAAGGCAACACACTGTTCTTAACGTAAAAATTGTGCATTCTAACCATGCCAAGAGAAACGTGGTTTATTGGTTATAAATAATGATTCCAAAGTCAGATTGCTTAGGGTCAAATAATGGTACAATCATTTATTTACTTGACTTCTCTGTGCTTCAGTTTTCTCATTCATAAAATAATTTATGATAATACTATACCCTTATCAGATTCCTGTAGATATTAAAAGAGATAAAACATATAAAGCTTAAAACAGTATATGGCAAGTAAACACAGTAAATTTTAGTTATTATTTTATTAATAAATGTCCTTGCAAAGCCAGGCAATGTTGGTATTGATGATACCAGTTCCATAAATAAGAAAACAGGTGCAGGAGATTAAATACCTTGGCCGGGATTAAATTAAAAAGATGCAATTCAAACCCTGTTTCTCTTGTCTCAAACCCCATACACTTTACTATATCACACTTATTTTTAGTACAGATACTTTATGTAAAGTATCTAAAGGAAATAGAAAACAACTAGCTTTTAATTGGGTTCGATAAGTAGGGGTTCGATAAGTACAGCAAAAGAGACTAACTGAGTAACTGGCCAACAATATAAATCTACAGTGCTAATCAGGGTGCTTTTTCTCCACGTTGCCCACCATGCTAGATTTACTCTTGACTTCCTATGTGTCTGTGTTTCCTATCTTCTCATTAGTATGGTCCTTATTTCTCCTTCTTTTGCCCTTCTTCCAATTTCTTCTTCAAATTCTATACAAACCTCAGTATTTCCCACAACCGAATGAGTGGTGCCAGATATGTGTACCATCTGCACTATTATTTATTTAGTACTTTCCTTAAACTGATGCACTTTTTATTCTTAAATTTGTTTGAAAAAGAAACTATCATAAATGAAAAACCAGTTTCACTTGGCATAAGCAGGAGCTATAAAATCACTATGATGTAAGCAAAATAAAATTAAGTTCCAGCCAGATTTTGTTGCTCTCCAAAGGCTCTGAGTTTGAGGCTTGCTTGTTTGTAAAAATTAATCAAATACCTGGCAGGGGAGATATCATGATCATGAAAATGGTTTTCCCAGGGCCAGGCTTATCCCTTGTACTCTGGATGTGCTGGCCCCTGCAATTTCCCCAAATGTGGGAAACTCGTCTGCATCATTTGTCATAGTGCTGGACTGGGTTCTCACTTTCTTCTAAAAACAAGAAGAAGAAAGTCAAGGTAAACCCATGATAGTTATTAATGACATATTTGCATTAAACTGGAGTTTTAAAACTTCCTCTTTGAAATACTCAAATACTGAAAGAAAACTAAAAAGAAATAACTTCTAATTAAGTGTTTCAATGTTATTGAATGCCACTCTCTAGTATCCCCTTACAGAATCTCTCACACAGTGCTATTCATCTCATCCTTTGGAAAACATTAATTTATCTGATCTTCCGGACTCATTATTTCTCTCGTAATGGCATGATTTATTTATGCCACTTATTCGGGGATATTGTCATAACATTTCTTACATGTTAATTAGTTTGTATCATTTCTTGTGAACAGACACAAGATGAATCCTCAAGATAACAAACTCTTAGTCACAAGTCATGGTTCAGATGAATGAGAAATAATCTCATATACAATCATTCAGTCAATGTCATGTATGGAAGAATATTAAGGGAAATTGAATTGTTTATAGTAAATTATTTTAAGCAAATCAGTAAAGAATTGTAATAACTGTATGTTTTTTCTCTTGGGCCTGTTAATGATGTTCTGTGTGTAACTATATACACCTCTATATGAATGGAAACACAATACCCTTTGTCAGATAAGAATATTTAGCAAAGTTATTTGTTGTACTGTTATTTAAGATTTCTGTTTTGAAACCAAATTATTTGAGTAAAGCTTAGCTTTACATTAATGCGAATTAAAGTTTAGTGGTTTAGAAGTTCATTTGCATTTCATGACTTTAGTTCCATCTTAGAAAATCAAACTCAGCTAACAGATTTTAATTGACCAGCTACCCTAAGATGTTAGTCTTTATTAAACATCCAGGTTTGAGAATAGTTTAAAAAGATGCACTACACTCATTTGTTATTTAAATGTAATCACTTCCTCTATAGATCAGATCTTGGCCCTTTCTCAAAACACACATGTATTATAAAAAGTAGGGCTTAATTATGTAAGCTTTCCTTTCATAATAGTTTAGGGGAAGAAAGAGCTGTCAATTTTAGTAAAAGAGGATGGGCATTATGACCAAGAGATCTGAATTAATCATTGTACTCCCTTCAGAAAGTAGTTTCACTTGTCTCAGAAAATGTTTGCAGATGTGCAAAATGAGAATCTCTCTTGTAGACATCAACAAATAATATATGAGACTAACCATAAGAGTGCTTTAAAAATGGTAGCTGTGATTATCCAACTAAATATTTTAAACAAAGCATTAATTTTCCCTTAAACCTAGGTTCGTATAATTAGCCTTATTTATTATTATTACTATTATTATTATCTATTCTCATTCATTCATTCCATATTTTTTTTACCAGAGATCTACAGGGTCCAACAGAAGTAACGCCTGCTTGAGTGTGGTTGGTAGGGCACTAATATGGGTGTAGTAATTTATAGCTTTAATTTGGATATTTTACCTAAAATGTCATATGGTGTTCTTGAGTGTGATGTTGTTATGTTACAGAATTACATGCTTATGATTTTGTAATAAAAGGTTTTGTAATAAAAATGGGACATTATTTGTGCCAGGCCCTGTATTTTGCCCTATCCTAGTGGTGGGCATTGGAACTGTTGTAAAACAAGGAATCTTGGATGGGCCTAGAAAGTATTACGCAAGTGAAATAAGGCAGGTAGAGAAAGACAAATACAGTACGATTTCACTTATATACAGAATCTAAAAACAAAACAAATGAACAAACAAAACAGAAACAGACGCATAGAAACAGAACAAACTGATGGTTCCCAGAGGAGCCTGGGACAGGGCATAGGTAGAATGGTGAAGGGGTACAAATGTTCAGTTATAAAGCAAGTAAATTACAGGCTGTAATAAGGAATTACAGAGTTAATAATGTCGTAATAATTTTTGTTACTAGATATATTGTGGTGATCACATTCCAATGCATGTAAATGTCAAATCACTATGTTGCACACTGAAAACTAATGTAATATTACATATCAACTATACCTTCATTTTTAAATGAAAAAAGAAATCTGTGTGTCATGGACTTTACATTCTGACAACAAAATTTTTTTTAAAAAATAGAGTACGTCACTGTAGTAGTATAACTACTACTGAGCAAGTGAAGCAGATTGGTGGGCTAGTATGAAGGGAAATGAAGACACAACTTTAGCTAAGGTGGTTGGAGGAGGCTTATCTGAGTGGTGATATCTGAGCAGAGTCATTAAAGGTCGAAGGAAGCTGATGTCAGCTTGAGAGAACAACACTGAGGCATAGAAAAGCAGAGAATCCTGAGGCAGGAAGAGCCCCCTGACTTTGATCTAAACAGGGGCTGACTTGTTGGAGATGAATTAAGGAACAAGGCAAGGACTACTTCCTGTAAAGACTTGCCAGCCATAATAAGAATAGGAAACTAATGAAGCAGCCAAGTTTAAATCTAAAAAGATTTTTCTAGATGGCTATTATTGTAGCTACCAAGGGAAAAGATATGGGTTCCAGAGGAATAGTAGGCAATTAAGTGATAAGACATATTTGGAATATATTTTGGAGCTAAAGGTGATGGAGGTGAGAAACAGAAGAGAATCATGAAAGGCCACTACATTTGGCATTGTGTAACTAGGGGACTGTTGAGCTGTGCACTGAACCAGGAAGGCAGGGGAAAAAGCAGATTTAAGGATACCAGTCAAGTGAAAGTACCAAGGAGGCAAATGGGTATGCTAAACATTTATTATTGGGCTCCTAATTTGTTTCAAAAATATGTTCTATATTTTCCACATGGCAAATATTTTTCATGGTGAATATACTCAAAGTTGTTGAAATGAATTTTGATCATAATTATATCAAGTAATTTGACTTGTAGGAAGATCTTCTGGATTATATTTACTTTAAAGGAATTCCATAAGTTTCAGAGATATCTGTCTGAACCTTCCTGGATTTTCCCCAGGTCAGAAGATGCATCATATCCTATTAGGCATACAACACATAGAGCACCTGCCAAAAGATCTGTAGTTGTCTGTGTTATCTTGGTGTATTCAAGATGCAAGTTTGTCCCAGATGCTCTAAAGCAGGATTCAGAATATTGTGCCTTGCTGGCCAAATCCAGCCCTCACCTGTTTTGTCAATTAGAGTTTCACTGGCCCACAGACATACCTATACTTCAGGTATTATGTGTGGCTGCATTAACACTCCAACACTCAAGTTGAGTAGTTGCAACAGAGGCATATGGCCCACAAGCCTGAAATATTTACTATTTGGCCCTTTAAATAAAACTTGGCTGACCCTTGCTCTAAAGTATCTTTTAATCATGAAGCTTTGTGATTTTATTATTTAAGAGAAAGTGATTCATAGATGAGCATAGATATAGAAGTTCTGTATTCATGTGCCATCTGAAATAATTATAAGAATAGGTCTGATATTCAGCATTCAATTTCAGTAATTTTCTTTTCTTTCCTTTAAAGCTAAGAATCCAAGTTCAATCAACACAACACAAATACCAGGTAAGTTAAGGTTTTATCCTTTGAGGATGTTCATGTGTAAAGTCCCAAAAATGAGACAAAACCAGTTAGAGGGCAAGGTGAGATAATACAGGGAAAACATTACATAGCAACTAAAATGTTTAGGAGACCTTGTACCTGAAAATAAATGCAGACCAGGGAACATGCAAGATTGTGCCTGAATGTTCTGTGGTTTTCATGAGTGGGACCAGCCCTGGTAAATGGATGAAGCATGTGGAATTGTCCTCTGACCAGAACCTGCTGTTTCTGGTCTGTTTCCATGATTGGCATGTCCTCTGCAGAAGTATAGTGAGAAGTATATGTGAACAGTCTTCTCTGTGTTTCCAAACTAAGCCTGGTCCTGGCATCCAAAGAGATGATGTTAATAAACCACAGTTAACAGCCTAAAATGTTGTCACTTCAAATTACTTGTCTTGCCATCCTTAGTTTTAAGCTGAACAGATTTCAGATGATGGAGCAATAGGAACTGAAAGAGATCATTGGGCAGGGGAAGATGGTCATGTTAAATCTTCCTCTTGTTTTGAAGTCAAAATTATTTGGACAATTCTTGTCTTTCTACATCCTACCTGGTACGTTAGCAAATGACAAATCTCTTAGGTTCTCAATCCTTGTGACCTTTGGTATTTATAAAATGAGAAATATATGAAATAAAGATAGAAGATTGTGTAACTTTTTTTAAAAATTGAAAAAATAAGGCTATGAAAACTTTCAGTGAATCTAATAACAATCTCACAACAAATGTCCAAAATAATCATCAGTCTAAATTCTACTTTTTGTGTTTGAAGGCTTCAAAACTGAATTGATTATGCTTTTAACTTTTAAGTATTTATTTTCTACATAATATTCCTCATGAATGAAGTTATTTTATAGTATTAACTCTCTGTATTTCATCTCATCACCACATTTTTACTCTTATTTCCATCCACATAGTCTGGAAATGCACTCAAAAGAGAACTGAGAAAAACAAAGCAAAACAAAACACAAAAACAGTACATCCAGGCAAAAAGGGCCTCTTTGCATTGGCCAATGCTGTGCACACTCTGGAGAAGTTCTTCCCCTCTGCTTAACAGATCCGTCATCCTGGAGAAGCTGCAGATGGGAAAATAGGGAGCTGCCAAAATCCTCAGCTCCTTTTAAGGAGGGATGAAGCAGGCTTTGTTTTGTTTAGAAAAGTTGATTTACAAAATTCCATCTTTAACTATAATTTATTTTAAATGTATTGAAAAGCCCATTTAGATTTTAATTTTGAGTTATGGAAATGAGTTCTCCTAAAACAGAAAATAAAATGAGCCAATGATTTGAATAGTGGGCTAAAAAGGAATGAGACTGATTTTTAAGCCACAAGGAAAGTCAGGCTCCAGTTTCAGATATATGTTGTGGCTAAAGACTAAATCAAAATTCATTTTAAAAATAATAACATTTATTAACAAGATATTAATTATACCTCTGTTAAAAACTGTACCTGTGTTTGTTTACTTAAAATATTGTAACATATGTTTATCAAAGATGATCATATATCAAATTTGTGAAATATTCACGTGTAAGATCAAGGATAAGGATCTCTTTTTCTTTTAATATATTTGATTGATTATGCTATTACAGTCTCTCCTCTTTACTCCCCTCTTCTCTGCACACCCCTCCCACCCACATTCCCACCTTTTAGTTCATGTCCATAGGTTGCACATATAAGTTCTTTGGCTTCTACATTTCCTATGCTATTATTAACCTACCCCTGTCTATTTTCTACCTACCATTTATGCTTCTTATTCCCTGTACCTTTTCCCCCATTCTCTCCACTTCCCCTCCCCTCTGATAACCCTCCATGTGATCTCTATTTCTGTGATTCTGTTCCTGTTCTAGTTATTTAATTAGTTTGTTTTTGTATTTTTTAGGTTCTGTTGTTAATAGCCGTGAGTTTGTTGTCATTTTACTGTTCATATTTTTTATCTTCTTTTTCTTAGCTAAGTCCCTTTAAAATTTCGTATAATAAGGGTTGGGTGATGATGCACTCCTTTAACTTTACCTTATCTGGGAAGCTCTTTATCTGTCCTTCCATTCTAAATGATAGCTTTGCTGTATAGAGTAATCTTGGATGTAGGTCCTTGCCTTTCATGACTTCAAATATTTCTTTCTATCCCCTTCTTGACTGTGAGGTTTCTTCTTTTTTCAGAAGAGGAAAACTTTATTGATAGGAAAATAGCAAATTAATTTTTTTAACTTTTATTTTAATTGTTGTTCAAGTTCAGTTTTCTGTCTTTTACTCCCAGAGAAATCAGCTGATAGTCTTATGGGAACTTCTTTGTAGGGAACTGCCTCCTTTTCTCTTGCTGCCTTTAAGATTCTCTCCTTATCTTTAATCTTGGGTAGTGTAATTCTGATGTGCCTTGGAGTATTCTTTCTTGGGTCTATCTTCTTTGAGACTTTCTGAGCTTCCTGGACTTCCTGGAAGTCTATTTCCTTTGCCAGATTGAGGAAGTTCTCCTTCATTCGTTTTTCAAATAAGTTTTCAATTTCTTGCTCTTCCTCTTTTCTTTTTGGTACTTTTATGATTCAGATATTAGAATGTTTAAAGATGTCCTGGAGGTTCCTAAGCCTGTCCTCATTGTTTTGAATTCTTGTTTCTTCATTCCATTCTGGTTGAATGTTTCTTTCTTCCTTCTGGTCTATGCCATTGATTTAAGTCCCAGTTTCCTTCCTGTCACTGTTGGCTCCCTCTACATTTTTCTTTATTTCACTTTTCATAGCCTTCACTTTTTCCTCTATTTTGTGACCATATTCAACCAATTCTGTGAGCATCCTGATTACCAGTGTTCTGAACTATGCATCCGATAGGTTGGCTATCTCTTCATTGCTTAGTTGTATTTTTTCTGGAGCTTTGATCTGTTCTTTCATTTGGACCATTCTTTTTTGTCTTGGCATGCCTGTTACATAGTAAGGAGCAGAGCCTTAGATGTTCACCAGGGCGAGGCAACCCACATTGCTGGGTTGTGATGCTATATGTGGAGCAAGGGGCAAAGAGGGAACAGTGCCACTTGCTCCACTCTCTGCCAGCTTCCAGCCACTTCCCCCGCTACCCACAAGCAAATAGGGCACTTCTGATGCTGATTTCCACGTGGGTGGGTTTGTGTACATTCTAGGACCCTGTGGGTCTCTCCAATGAAGAACTCTCCTGTAAGGCTGGGAGTTTCTCCTGCTGCCGCCTAAACCCCCACAGGTGTTTTCAGTCAGAGGTTTTGAGGCTCTGTTTCCCCATGCCAGAACCCTGGGTTATGTGATCTGTCTTGCTCCTCAGTTGTTTCTCCCAGTTTATCTGCATGAAAATGTGGGACTGCCCATTCTGCCAGCTGTCACCCTGCCTGCCCAGGTCCTGCAGCCACCACCTTGCCACAGTCCTCTCTGCCCGGCTGCTGTCTCCGCCCCTCCTACCTGTCTGGATGAGTATGTCTTCTTTAACTCTTTGGTTGTTGGACTTCCATACAGTTAAATTTTCTGTCACTTCTGTTGTATTTTGTTTTTAAATTTGTTGTTGTCCTTCTTTTGGTTGTGAGAGGTGACACAGTTTGTCTACCTATGCCTCCATTTTGGCCAGAGGTCCAAGAATCTCAAAATAATTAGTATTTCTCTATTTGGGTAGAAGCTGAGGTAGAATTCCAGCCTACAGAAATATTAATACTGCTTTTTTTATAAATATGAGCTAGTATGCATGTGTTTGACTAGATCATACATATTCCTCACATTTGACATTTTTCATATGCATATAGCTGTAATTTTCTTGAAAAGTGATGTTTTTACCACCCACTTCAAAAAATATTAGTAAGGGTCTAGAAGTTGATGATTGTTTTATATAGGATCATTTTTGGGAATCCAAAATAAGTAAGGTAAGTGAATATAAAGTGTAAATTTTAAGAAATTATACAAACATATGATGTTTAATATTATATAAAAACATAAAAGAAAGGTAGTTGTATGGAAATGATCAATACAGATCTGAAGACGTATCCATTCATTCCATTCAATAGTATTCAGTAGATAGCTGTTGTTAACAATGCTAACCATGAGGTAATATGCTCAATGTCTAAAGCATGTATACAACTTCAGCTGCCCATTATAACAGATCTGGCAAGACTTCAAATTTAGGATGATACCCTATAAAATATATAGAATAATATTTTCCACTAACTGCAGATTAATTGTAACCATCACTAACTGAGGCATTTAATAATATGAAGCCTTCCATTAAGTGTCCCCAAGGGAAATTTGTCAGCATCATAGTTATAAAACTCTAGTAATTGTGTAGGTATAAAATGATAGAAAAGTTTCAGATAAACTTATGTTAAGATTGGTGGAAGTAAAGATTTTTTTCTTTTTAGCTGGGGTTATGTTATTCATTATGTATGTGGAAAGAAGTTTAAGAAGGATGAGGAATGAGTTTATGAAAGAAGTGACCTTCTAACTGCCAGATTATTCTGCCTACTCATTTTTCTAACTGTGCTCATGAGGGGATGGAAATACCTACTACAAAGTGATGAAAGGCTGTTTACTCCCTAGAGATGTAAGCAGACATCATGAGGCATGCGGCCATTACAAGTTTAAGCAATGATGAAATTCACTTTTCTTTAGCATTATCATTTTTTCACAGACTTCTCCTTGCAAATGAACCTCTTTATTTCTTTGATAAGAGAGCTCAGCTCTGAAAAAAATGGATATACCATACCTCCATGAATTAGGAAAGGAATAAACAATTTATAGAAAATACAACTCTATTAGAGTTCTCCAGAAAAACAGAACAAATAGAATAGATAGATAGATGAAAGAAAGACGAGAGAAAGAGAGAAAGAGGAAAGAAAAGAAAAGAAAGGAAGGAAGGAAGGAAGGAAGGAAGGAAACAGATAGATTTATTATAAGAAATTGGGTCATGCACTATACGGGCTAAAAAGTCCCAAGATCTTCAGTAGGCAAGTTGGAGGCCTGGAGACCTAGGA